AGCTCTGTTATCCCAGTGCGGGACAAGGCGTCACTCCGTGCGAGAGCTGGTGCTCCAGCATGTTCAGGACCTCTGGGTGCAGGTGCTCTCTGCATCACAGGTGCACAGGTCTCACCACAGGTGAGAGTGGTGAGAAACATGGGTTTACAGAACAGCATCYGCACTGCGGGAGTTTCTGCAGTCCACGGCAGCCAGCGGATGGATGAGGCCAAAAGGAACAGCAAGATTCCCACTCTGCTGCTGCCCTTCTGCCAAGGAAGGGCAAAGTGCAAAAGACCTTAAAGGCTGCACCATGGAAATGTTTAGCTCCATGGGAGTTGTTCTTTGATTTAGTTCAAAGTRCAAATTCTCTTTTCCTCTATAAATGAAGTCAGTAGTGCTTGATGATATCACAAYTTGAAGTGTAGGTAGTTTTCTAGGGCATTACCCACCTTTTTCCAATTCAGTTGTTCCAAACTAGTAATAGAAAACAGAAACAAAGGCTTTCTTCACAGAATGGTTAAGGTTGGAAGGCACCTCTAGAGATCATCTAGTCTAACCCCCTGCTCCAGCAGGGACACCCAGAGCCCGGGGAACACGGTGGCATCCAGGAGGGTTTTGAAGACCTCCAGAGAAGGAGGCTCCACAACCTCCCTGGGCAGCCTGTTCCAGGGCTCTGTCATCCTCACAGTAGAGAAGTTCTTCCTCATATGGAGATGGAACTTCTGTGTTTCAACTTAGACCCGTTGCTCCTTATCCTATCACTGGCTTTTTCTCAGTTCTGAGCAGAAATTGACTCTTTGGCAGCGGCAGGTTCTCCTTGTTTGACTGCCAGCTTCAGCAACTTACTGCTTACCTGGCTCATGTAAATCTTGTGCTTTACTTGCACAAGTGAAATCTGAGCAAATTTTACTCATTGAGAAAYGTGACTGTTTTTTCACAGGATTTTTCCTCAACTGATAGCTACGGCAAAGAAGAACTGATAAGTGAACACAAACAAAGCCCATCCTGGGTGAGATCATATCAGTCTGTTTATGTAACTCGATGCTGAAGTATTTTCTGAGTATTTAGGTACATTCTGCCCTGTCATCTTGTGAGGGCAGCTAGCAGGGCTGCTTCGTGGTGCTGCAGGTAGGGCCTGGTCTTAGGAAGCTGAAGCTGCCCTTTTGTGTCTTCCAGCTCTAGCCCTGGTGAGCCTACATGATGCCTCTAACTACGAACACGTTCTGATCACTGTGAACGGCACGGAAGGATGACTAACTCCATTCCAGACCTGGATGCTGGGATGAAGAGGAGGGGGATGTAGTGTCGATCAGGCAGTTACCGCTGACTTATCTACGTTTTGCTGTTTAATCAGTAATTGAGATGATTTCCATGTTTAATTATTGAAGATCAATGATAGCTTCACATAAACAAACGTACAGAGTTTATACGGGAAAGAGGTCCTGTGGATTGTGAATCTGGAATTGCTACTGGGTAGAAAATAAAGGAGGAAATCCCTTGGTGAAAGCGTGTTCACACCCGCACGCTTCTATGTTGCTAGGTGGGTTGTGTGGCCAATACTGTGAGCAAAGGGTCTGGGGTCTTACCTGCTGCRGCTGTGTCACTGCTCATCTCCACTGCTGCCAAGTGTCCACCGCTGCCGGGCTGGCCGGGGTGCTACCTGACCTCACGCTTGCATAGGGAACAAATCCTAGCTCCAAGGTTTGTTTTCAACACTAGAATCCTAAAGACACTTAAAAATAGGATGATTGGCTTTTGATTGGGGACACATTTCGTTTCACTCGAAACAACTGATTTTTCAACTGGGTTTGGGTTATAAAGCTGTCTATAGGGTAAAGTTCTCTTTATAATACAGTTGTGTGCACTGATCAGATACAAAATGGTTTCTGGAAGAGACAGTAAATAATCTGGTAACTTAAGCAAATGCACATTTACTCTTGAAATGCCTGCTTACACAGGTAACAGTAGCCAACTCTCCTTGTATGTGTTGGGGCACAGAGGGCTGTTTTGGTTTTTGCCCAAAGCTGTGGATTTAAGGATGCTGGTTTCTGTGCGGCTGTGATCCCCGAGTTCCACAGAGTAGCTCAGGGTTTGTGCTGGTTTAAGTTCAGTGCAGAGACAAAGCTGAGTGTCTGTAGAAAGCAAATGTAAATTAAAATGATCAGCAGCTGCAACAAGGGAACTTCGGTTGGCTGTAGGAAAGCAGGTGGGTGACGAGGTGCGGAACGGGGGCTGCTCCATCGTGGGACATGTTCGGACTGCATCAGCCGGTGAGCACCCGAGGCAGCTTCAGTGTTTGCCTCACTTGGGGTGGCGGGTGGAAATGGACTAATGCTCCTGAAAGCTTCTTCCACCTCAGCAGTCTGCTTGAACTAAGCATTTACCCCATTTACAGCAACGCTCATGAGCTAAGGAAAGTCCCCATTTCCCGTATCAATGTATTTTTATTTCTGGCCAATCAAAAACCCATCATTTTTGGCAGGGCAGAGAGGAGGAGGGATGGTGCAAACACTGGGGGAAACACACAGTAGCAGTGCTCTGGGTTAGCAGGTGCTCCCGTGGCACCGGTGCTGCTGCTGCAGCAGCTCCGCACCATGGAYGCTCGGCTGTTGCCACATGGTAGGAAACAGGTCAGGCTGGTCAGGTGCCCTGGAGGGAGCCCCGCGCGGCGCCCTTCTGAGGGGCCGTGCCCAGGGCTGCCTGGGCTGTCCGGCCCTGCGGCGCTGCCGGGACGGCGCTCGTGCAGCCTCCCCTGGGGTGACGCTGGGCGCCGGCCTCTCGGGTGCTGCAGTGCGGCCCYCAGGCTGCAGCGCCCACCCGTCTGCCCCAGCTCTGCGCCAAGGCAGCGAATTTCTTCCCCCTGCAGCAGGTCCCCCAGCCCCTCTCTGCTGCTTATTTCGGGTTGAGAGCCACCTGCGCGAGGCCAACGGGGCAGCTGCTGAGAGCGGCGCCACTGCAGCGGCTCGTGTAGGGTGTGTGGTTCGCGAGGGCAAGAGGTGAAACCAGGGATGAGACCGAGTACTTTAAGACCGAGACTACTGCAGGAATGTGCAAATGAGATTCCTTTTTTGTTATCGGCTGGTTGGTGTGAAAAACCCTGCTTGTGTTTTGCAGCACATTCCTGCAAGTATCCCAGTACAGCTTCCCGAGTGCTGCATGCAATTGCAGATGCATTTGGAAAAGAAACAAAAAAAATCAGGGAACAGATGTAAGTAACTGCTGTAACTGGTTCTTCCTCTTACACTTCATGTTGCTCAAGTTGGGCTTGGCACCCCTGCAGCTCGTTCCATGTATGTCAGAAATCCTTACCATTAAGGAGCCATCACAGAAGCATTTGTTCTTGTTGTTTTTCTCCTGCCTTCCTTCATTTTTAATAGAGATCAACTCAGTGTAGCATGAGGTCCTTGACAGGTTGAAGCAGTGTTCCCAGTACCGGGAATCTGGGGGAGGCTGTTAAGAGAGGTGACTCATGGGCCCTGGTGAGCATCCTGAGCCCTGGACACATCCACCTCATGCTCCAAGCAGCCCGCCCTGACAAGGGTGACTGTGCTGCAAGCGCAGCCTTCTCGCATGGCCTCTGCTCCTTAGAGCTCATTGAAGCTGCCAGAGCAACATCCCTGCTGTGGCCTTGAGGAGAAACAACAGTTCACACAGATGGACAGGTCAGACACAAACACAGGCTGAGAGTCACTTTTACAAGTTTCTTTATGAAATTAAAYGTAGCCCCTGGTCTGGGGGGAGATATAGTGCAAGAATGACTTTGTACATGCTACTGAATTCGGGTATCCCTGGACGACCAGACTTTGGTCAGCTACAGCATCGGCGCACGCTGCATCTTGCTGCCCAACGCCGCTCCTAGGGCTGCTCTTAGGCTAGGAATTCAGTCAGTATGGCTTCTAACTCTCACTATGGTAAGGCAAATCTTTCCTTTTGCTAACAGAGATTTAACTGAATTCTTTTGGCCATAGTTTTGAAACCTGGGTACCTAAAGTGAGGCTCTTAATGCCAGATTTCAGCCTTTTATATATGGCCATAAGTTTGCTTTTACAGGTGTCAAACAGCTGCAGTAATGGCCCTTACACTGAGGGGCTGGGGAGGTGCCATAGCAATCGAGCTGTTGGTTTTAAGAACTGAACAGTTCCCACTTCTGGGAACTACATTTGCCAATATTGACTTTTTTGTTTAAAAAAAGAAAATCAAACAAAAGAACAGACAAACAGGCATCAAGTTAACAACATCTGACAAGACCAGGTACAGACTTACAAAATACACAGTTCTGTTTTTTACCATAAATAAACACATTACAAATAATGAGTGTTTTCATTGGCCAGGAAATACGGCAGAATGATGGAGAGAAGAGGATCTAAGGAATCGAGTATGGTATTAATTTAGGCACATTTTTCTCTAACTTACATAAGTCAAACCTCACTAGGGAGATTCTTGAATTTTACTCATGCTGCAGGTTGATTGGCACCGTTAACATACTATTTAGTTCGTCTGCATGTTGAACTAAAGGAAAGAAAAGGGTCACAGTGCAGTACTCACTGTTGTCTGAGTGCCAGCAAAGGCTAACTGAGTGGTTAGGAGTGTAGGATCACGGCCTTGATGAGACACGTGGGCGGGAGGAGAGTGGAAGGGTCTGTACCCCCAACGCTGTTTCGGGCCAGCAACACCGAGCTGGGGGCTGAGCACGTCAGCGGACGTGGAGCTGGTAGCTGCATCCGCTGCCCTCCCCTCTCCGGCAGCTGCAGGACAGCAGTAGTGGTCACAGCTGGAAGGAATGGTTTGGAATGCGCCTGACACGCCGACTCTTAGCAGCTCCAACACTTCAGGCTCCTGTGGTCTCTTCCTGGAAGGTGGCCTCTTGGGCGCTGTGCGAGACTAGCTTGATGGGACCGGCACACGCAGTGTCCCACCTTGGAGCCAGCGCGCTCAGTTGGGTCTGCAAAATAAATAGGGCAGGAAGGAGCACATGGGCCAACCTCTGCAACCAGAGGTATGGAAGAATCTGGGCTCCCTCTCCGGGGAGTGTGGGATAAAGTGCTTTCGCAGAAGGATGGAGGCACAAACGCGGCGCGGCCCCTACTTCCGGAAGGGGGTCAGCCTGCTGATGTTCTGCCAGAAGTTCGAGGGCTTGCGCTTGGGCTCTGCCAGCATGAAGACTTGCTGCTGCGGGAGCGTGGTGGGCAGCGTGGGGTGCTTCTGCCGCATCAGAAAGTCATAGTAGGGYCGGGTGACGGCTGCGAGCACAAGGAGGGGGAGCAGTTAGTTTAGCACCGTTCCCTGCCCCGCACCCTGTAGAACTGCAACCGTTGCTGCAATTAAACCACGGGAGCACAGCGGGCAGGCGCTCCCTGTGCGGGTGGGCTCTCACTAAGGCTTTGTTATTCCSGCATTGTCCCCAACAGACCAAGGGCACACGCAGGGACAGGCTCTGCTGTGGTGGCCTTTATAACCTGCCATATCCCAGGGTCACRAAAACTGGCTCCCTCCCTTCCCCCACATGGGGATGGCACGTGGCTTGCAGCGTCCGGCTTGCAGCCTCATCCCGGAGCTACACTTTGACTGGAAGCTGCTGCTTGGGTTGCACTGGGTTAGGTGCAAAGCCGGTTGSCAGGAGTTAGGAAGCAGCTTCCTGACTCTGGCTTCTTGAAAATGCAGGAACGGTTCTGCAGCTGGCGTCGTGCGAGCGCACCACCTGCTACCCAAGAGCTTATGCCATTTGATCAAAACTATTCTCCCCAGTAAAGTAGGGCTTATTCTGAATTTAAAAAGCACATGCAAATTCTAAAGATGGTCAGTTACCTGCACCAGTCAATTAAATTCACTTCTGCACATCAGTGAAAAAGAGTTTTAGCAAGCAAAAAGATCATTAAACTCAACTAGAAAACTCGGCAAAATTGTCTCTAAGCCTTGCCAATGTGTTTTTTAAAAGAAGGATGTCACTCCTACCTTTCTTTCTGCCTCGAGGATAAAATAAATTTTTCTTTATGACACTGTTTTCACTCTTAATGCTGTAACTATTCAGTTCAATCTAAATTTGATGTTTAAGAGATGGCTTTACCAGCCATATCTCCCATCAATGGAAGTATTTACCAAATGGAGCTAATAAAACTTTATGGCTTAGAGTTACTAGTTTTTCTCTGCTGTGTTTAGTTTGAAGTCTTAGCTAGAAAAGATCTTGACTAAAATGTTAAATAAGCAAAACAAAGGTTTGGAAAATTCTAAAAAAAGTATACATTAAAAAGTCAGGTGGTTGCGTATTGGGTAAAYCTTAGTTCCTGATTATGAATCTGTAGCTGGCACCACTTACCCTTCGGCTTCCCCGTGTGCTGCTGCTTGCTGGCATTCAGCATTGCCTGCTTTTTCTGCACCTCCGTGATGGAAAAACCTTGAAGACAAAATAGAGTCTGTTAGGGGCCGGTCAGCTCTCTCTACCTCAGGGGACCACGGGGCAGGGCTGGCAGGGAATCATGGCAGGTGGAACTCAGCGGGGCAGGAGACATGAGCCCGAAACACTGGGGGAGCCTCAAGGAGCTCCTGTCCTGGCCCAGGCTCCTGGGCTACAGAGCTCCCATCACATGTTTCTGAATTAAGCAAGATTTAGACCAAAGAGCAAACGCTGCCGCTTGKGCTAGGAACCTTGGGCAGAACCTGTTCCCTGGAGATACCAGAGTTGAGCGCTTACTTCAAGCTGTATGTAAAGTATCAACCACTTTGTCAGCCCTGCTGAGTTCATTAAAGGCAAATCAAGCTCCACAAGCGGCACTGCAGCAGCAGCTCCCTGTGCTTTGTAGTTTGAGGGATTTTTTCTTTTACCACTAACACAAGAATTAGAGAGGCATCATTGAGGACATGCAAGTTCATCCAAGAACATCCATCCCAGAGCTGGCCTGGATGTGTTGGCCCTTTACACCCACGCTCTGGCCGCTAGTTAGAGACGGTGCTGTGTTGGTTGCATTGGCCTTTCCATACCAGTCTCTTGGTCAAGCTGAACCTGTCTCCTTTCACTCTCAAACGCCTTCAGCCAGCGCTGTTTCTGCTCAGGCTTTTTTGCACAAAATAAATGGACTTCCTCTGTGTCTTGGCAGTGCAGCTTAAATGCATTTTTCACACTGGTGTTGAAATCCTTGTCCTTCCCATCCTCTACATCCAGTATTTCCATATCATCCATGTTGATCCGACTTTTATAATACAGGATGTCCCGGCGCAGAAGATCCTGTAAGAGAGATGACAGAGTCATACTGATTTTGCTATTTCCTGTCCTCTCCCTTCTTTAGACACCTCTTGCCCTCTTCAACATGATGGCATTTTTCATCTTTTTAGTGGTCATAAGGTCTAATGTAAGATAAATTCATACAAAATCTGAATCTATGGAATTGCAGAGTTTCAAACTTCTTGACACCTTGGCAGCAAGGGGACTTGGGCAGTTCTGCCTGCTGGGTCAGGATAGGTGGCCATCTACAGATACGGCTATCTATCTGCTACACTGAAGCTCACTCGTAATGAGAAGGGAAATTCATCTTGGACTTGCTCTTAGAGCTTCATTCAGGTCTATGATTGTGCACCAGCCTTCCGCCAGTATCAGAAAATAGAATGGAAATAGAAATAGAAAATAGAATTTGAATCCCATAGTCCACATSTAAAAGCTAGAAAAAGCTGGCTTTTGTTTTTTTGCATTGCAAAAGAAAAGCAAATCTGATAGCAGTGATAAACAACAGTGAGAGTTTCATATCTTAGGTTTATCTTCATATTTTCATGAAGCCTAGAGGCAGAGGACTGCTTTCCTCTTTTGCTATAAGTATTTGGCCATCCATTGGCTCCTATAACTAACTTATTTCTGCGGCTGGGTACGCAGACCAGCCCAGTGTCAGGCAGAACACTGCAGCAAATGCACATAAAGCTCTGTCAGCCAGGAGCACATAGTGCATTAAAGAAATAGGCATTTACAGAACAAGCAAAACTGAACTGAGGTATGTGAGTTGACCTGAGTTTATTAGTTTATAATGAATAGAAATTATGCCTAGTTTCAGCTTACCTTCTTGCAGCAAACAAGCTGGTGATCAAAAAGGAAGAACATCCTCTGTTGGCTCTTGGCTTGAGGATGGGAGATTTTGGTTAATTCCCCAGAATAGATGAGTTCTGAGCTTCTGACTAGGACATCTTCACCCTGAGAGCAGCACAAAGAAGAGGTTGGTTAGTGCCATCCAGAATAACGGAGGAGAATAAATCAGCGTGTAGGAGAACCTCAGYTTGGCTGTGCATCTGTCAGGGCTGATTTTCTGCTGGTGAAATGTGTCTTCTAGGAATGAGAGGGAGCCTCAGTGATGCAGGACAGTCCTCGTCACATCAGTGGGGACAGCGTTTGTGCCCTTGGTACCCAGAGAACATGAGCTGAATTTTGCTGGAACAACACGATAGCAAATTAAAGAGCTCCTTCTCCAAGGAGTGTGTTCAGGGCAGCTGATCCTTCATTAAAGGAGCAATAAAGCTGAGAATTTACCCTGACATCCTCTGGGAAGTAGAGGGCCTGGTTTTACTGAAGCTAGGATGTGAAAAAATGTGGTTTGTTTGTTTGCTTTAGCTGTTATTTCTTACATGGAGTCTCAAGGGAAGATTGGCTTCCATTATATATCTATATCAGAACCGTTTTTTTTTCTTCCTCCTGCCCAMCAAAATAATACGCCTTAGGTATAGGGGATACGTAGGGGATAGTTCTGCCCATCGTGACAGTTTGAAATCACTCAGATAAAATAGGGAGACAGGAGGAAATGGCCCGAACTGCCCCAGATGCCAGGTTCAGTCTAAAAGGAAACAAAAATCCCAGGAAAGAGGCAGGAGGTTGCTRGAGGGCTTAAGTGCTAGAGCTTTAAGTAACAGGAGATGATCACAGCTGGGCTGTTTAAATAAACCAAAGGTGGAGGGGCAACAGAACTGGGGTAGGGACAGTAATAATCCGTACAATATGATTGCTGTAGACAAGCGCTGTTATGGGAGGGAGGAGGGACGCAGAGACGGGGCAGTTKGTGGGGGAAGCCGGCTCTCTCACCTCCCAGTCTTCTATTGAACTCTGCCACTGAGCAATTTTGTCAATGTTCTCCAGCCGCCGCTTGCGCTCGTTGATGAGCCGAGCAACGTTCTTCATGGCATTTAAGGCAGCTTCAACATCTTTAAAATCCCTAGGGCACAGTGGGGTTGTTAGATATGAGCAGAAGACAAGCGCYAGCTGGAACCACCCACCAAAAGGCTAGGGCTGGTCAGCAGAAAACATGAGCGCCATGTGCAGCTTTACAGTATTTTTGAGGGCAGCTTTTCAGGAGAACCGTGRGGTTTGTGAAGCACATAAAGTCAGATTATAACCTTGTGGCAGATCCAGGCCCAATCTGTAGGAGGGCAGCAGGTAAGCAAGCAAATTTGGTTCCAGAGGTGTAAAATACTAGTTGCTAAGCCTCTTTTCTACAAGGCTTTTCAGGCCTTGTTTCCCTTAGAGAACTAACATGTATTGATAATGCCAGTCTGCAGGCGTGTGGGAGCTGCTGCTGTCACACGGGGGGTGAAAGTGCAGCAGTAATTGGCTGGCTTGTGGACAGGAGCTGCTGTCTCTCTGGGTGCTGGGACAGAGACCAGCCCTCTCCACCCACACACCATCTATTGCCACCAGCTACTTCTCCCTGAGCTGTGAAGAGACCTGCAYTACAGCGACGTGTCACTGCTGCAATTGCCCCAACAGCTACTGCACTGCATTAAGGAGCTCCTTATTGAGCGGTCAGCTTCAGATCAGCACATTTGAACATAAGTGAGACACAAAACAGTTAAGTTATTAGCGTTGAAATTAGGAAGGTAAAAATTCAGCTTAAATCACAGTACACCAATGTCAGTAGTTTCCTCTGACATGTATTTTCCATTTTACATCTGTAGCTAATTATTTCAGATGCTTTAGTTAATTGAGCCAATTGAGCATCACCCTGAAATGGAGCAATGCGTTTCAGCTTTTGATCAGRTCCTAAAGAAGCACCAACATTTGCAAGTACCTCGAATGTCGCAGGCCGAGACTTCCCCTTGGGAAGACTCGCAACCCAGCCAACCAYGCTGAGCTGCGCTCCATGTACCAGTCAGTGTTAGTCCTTGGCCATGAGACCAGTGTCATGCCCCCCTGCAGCCCCTCCAGCACCTACCTGTGCTGGGGGTTGGTGTATTTGAGTAGTTCAGCCAGTTGCAATGGGTATTTGCAGATTTTCTGCACAGGCGTTAGCAGAAACCCGTCCAGGGAGATGTCGATCATCTTCTGCAGCAGGCGGCAGGCCTCGAAGAAGTAGACGTACTTGTTAACCTTGGTGAGCCGGGACAGCTCCATGCAGGCATTGGGGTGGTTGTTGCAGTACTCGGAGTATATCTGAAACTCTGTTTGCTGCAAGGGAAAATGAAAAGTCATTCAGCATCCACGTTCTTTAGGGTGCCAGCCTGGCATGGCTGTACCTGCTCCTGTAGCACGTCGGGCTGCTTGGTAATTTGCATTCTCCCCCTGACACTTTGAGCCAGAGCACTATAAGCTGGTGTTAGGGTGGGGTATAGTAGAAGTTAAGGCAAGTGCAGCTTCTCTGACAGACTTAAGACATTCCCATATATTCTGGCCCATGTTCAGCTGAATGTTTCAAAAGAATAAATCAGCAGTGAATATAAAGACCTGCAAAAAATGTAGGCATAAACTGCCCAGTGGGTGGTTCTTTGGCCGTTAAGTCTTGCAGCTCAAGGTGCCACGGGTCCCTAAAGCAGTATTATCCAGAATACAGAGCTCAGATGCTGAGGCATTGTGGAAATGTTCTCCGTGCAATCGCAAGACCAAGAGGGTGTTCGGGTGGGTGTGTTTTGTTGGGTGGGGGTGAGGGGACAGGTTATTTTGTTTCTTTGCCTGGTTAGGTTTTTTAATTCACAGCTTCCTCTTGGTCAGAATAGCCTCCAAACCCTCTGGCCTGATCACCTCTCCCTTCTTTTCCCTTGGGTAAGGCCATTCACTTACATATTCCAAGAAGCAGGAGCCAACCTCACTCAAATGTGGGTGGTCTTTATTGAACTTCTTCTCCAGGGCTTTAACAAATTTCTTTTGGCACCTGTAGATGTCTTCAATGTTCCCAAAGATTGTCTTCAGCTGCTCTTCTGTAAACATGTCAGCTCTTTTGCGGCACTGCTTAATGTAACCCTATGAGGAAAGCAAATTGGAAAGGACACTGGGCACTTGTTCTTAGGCCTTTSGATACCAGCAACAACCCCCACAGAGAGCAGCCAGTCGTACACCAGCTTCCTGTACCCCTTGCTCACCTGCTTATTTTTCCTCTAATACCCCCCAGTATGGTAGAAACAGAAATCAAGCCACACTGCCTTTAATGATACAGCACTTGAAGGAGTCCCTGAGCTGTCTCTATTCTGTAGAAACATCTTTATCTGCCTGCACATAAAGGTGCTCTGACACCAGAAGGGATATTTTTAAACAGCAAAATCCATCCAAGGCTCTAGGGTTGGTAGCAGGACTTGCCCAGCTGAGTTAAGGAAGGAGGAAGGTGAAGAGCATGAGGAGGGGAAGAAGACTCCTGGACACTGCTGGAGGAAAGGCTGGCTTGGGACATGTGTGGTGCCTTGTCCCAGCTGCCCCCTGCCACGAGGCAGGGATTTTTGTGTCTTTTCAGTGAGRGGCTGCTCCGTCAGTTCCCATCACTGGCCCCACTGCACGTGACAGAGTGCCTCAGCCCGGAGAGGTGTCACAATACGCTGCATATTTGGAAGTGAAAGACCTAATTGCCTGAACATCCCCCTGTTGTTTTAATCTGAGTATATGACTTGCCCAAAGGCTGGGATCGCTGAGTGTGTTACTTCAGATCATATATTAGAGAGAACTGCAATGTTAGACATTTACTCTTCTCTGGCTTGGGAAATTCATTTAATCAGAGCCCAACTGGGTAATGCAAACAAAGGGACATTTGCGATACTGCTGTAATGACTTGCCTTCCAATTTCTGAGTGTGCAGCATCATTTAGCAGAGCAGATGCAGATTGAATTACCATCTTGTTGGCAAAGGAGATGGGGAGTTACTGTCCTAGGAACCTTATCTCCACGTACAGGAACAACCTATGCTCTTGTTCCATTTAAAGATTCTGTTACCTCGCAGATGTCCTTCAGATGTTTGATGTAGTCTCTCTCTGTGCTTATGATCTCATTGATGACATTGGTCCTCATCTGATCTTTGCTGGTCTGCCCCATCCCAAAGCGTCGGGTGCCACTGCTGGAGTCGTCGTCTTTGCCACCCTCTACCTTTAGAGGGTAGTCTTCCATAGGCTCATCCTGGTTTACTCGAAGCTGTGCCAAACACACAAGGGTACTCACCATTGGTATTGCCAACTGCAGCTTTCCACTCAAAGCAGAGCAGTTTGGGAGAGATAACTGAATGGCAGACAAAGACTGAGCAGGGGTGAGGAGTGATGGGGAACACTACACAAGTTACCTGCGCAAGTGTCTCCAATGCGGGAAAGCTAAGGACAGATAGTTTGGGGAGGGTATTGGTAAACCACATGATGACTGTGCCTAAGATGTGACATGGGTGGTTTTAAGCAGGCATCTCCTGTGGACAGAAGTCACGGGAATKATAAGTGGTCTACTGGGATGAATATATAAAAAAGCAGAGAGGAAATGGTTTATAAAGTGAAATTTGCTTGGGTATTTGTGGAGGGACTCATAGGGCAGGAGAAGGATGCAGTAAATACTTGGTGTTTTATTGCTTTATGGTTACTATCATATTATAAATAACAGATGGCATCTCAGTAGCTGCTCTCCCAAGATTATTTAAAGATCATTTATTTTTAATACAAAGGTAAATAGAATTGTCAGCAGGCCTATAATGTGGTAAGCAATGTCATGGTATTTTACGGCTGCGTGTGTGGAGCTCATGATTCCTTCGGAGCGCCCATGAGAGGGCAGCACAGCATGAGCAGAGGAAAACCAGCAGCGCTTGGGGGACCGGCTGCACGAGGGGGTCTAGCTACCCTGTCAGCAGTGTGAAACTGCCTTAGTTGATGCCGCGCAATTATCAGTGCCTTTCACTTACAAGATTGCTTTTATGCACTTGCACTGTCACTGCATATTAAAGAGTTCCCAGAACGCCTGTGGGAGTATTTTGTACACAACTAGAATCATCAAGCTCAGCACAGAGAAGAAAGGAAAAAAACAGAAGAAGAGGAGAAAAAAAATCCTCAGTTTTACTGTATCGCTTCCCAAGCAGGCATAAATATATGCAACTTTATGCCAATGATACAGAGCTACTTTAAACTTTTAATGTATTTTCCTCTAGACAGGACTACTCACCTTTATTTATTTATTTATTTATTTAATAGATAGATGTAGATAAATACTCCTTGTCCACATATGTGTAGATTACGTTTACTCACTGTTTAAAGTTGGTGAAACCCTGCATATGTGGAGGTCTTGTTTTAATTCATTGCTATCAGAGCACTGGATGATTTTAAGCTCAGAACTTTGCCTGAAACTGAGAGACCTGTGAGCACACAGGCCTTCCCAGCAATAAGCTTGAGAGTCAGTGATCCTGGCAGGTTATCTTCACAAAGTTACTTAAATATGTGTTGTAATGACTCTGCTAAAAGAATCTGCTATTCTGCATCTCTCATCTTATTTCCTCTGAAACATTATCTTATCAGAGATTATTGTCAACCATGAAAACTCAACGTATCTGCAAATGAAKAGAAAAAAAAAAAGGTCTGTTTTGACTAAGAAAAAAAATGTTGTACCCCTGTCAGTGGTGAGAATTTAGTCCTAGTGGTCTTACGTGCAAAAGCTACAGCAAAACATTTCCAAACTTTTATGGCAGTCTGCCCCACTTCTCTAAGGACTTCTGCTACAGCCACTGTATCATCTCCTTTCATCCTTCACCTGGCTTTGGGTATCTTGTGATCTAAGGTGACCTGAATAAGAAGCTAAAGGGCTGACAGTCTCTTTGCTCTTAGCCTTCTAATCACCTCTGCAGTGGTGAAGAACCTGTCCTTAAAGTGGGGAAAGCAGAGTCAGGCCTCCACAGCAACAACTACAGCCTACAGAAAAGATGCTGTTCTGCTCACAGGAAGAAAGAAAGTGCCCAGCAGTTACCCAGACTCTTTTTACCCCTGATTTGCACAGAGAATTCAGATGCATTTTAGACTGCTCTGTGAAGAATGAATGTGACCTCTGCAGTGCACACCTTTGGCTTTTGTGCCCATCACAAGCTGTTTCTGTATGGGCTTCGTAGTCAGCACAAAGAGAGAACTTTGGCACCAAAACAGATCAAAATCAAGTGTTTCTTGTCCCCACCGGAGCAGTTGTCCTTTCCTGTGGTTTTCCCCTCTGTTTCCAAGTGCCTGAAGTGCTCTATTGTAGTCCACCAGCCTTGTGCTTTCAAACCTCCAGGACGAAGGGAGGCAGTTACACACTTCGAGATATGGTGCTGGAGTTAGTACCAGATGGAAAAAGCTCAGTTTGGTGGTCGTGCTCATCCTGCTGTTGGAAGTGGATCCTAGATTGAGGCCCTCTGCCAGCTCTGGGCTTCCTCTGGGAGAGGATTAGTTRCTCACTGTGGAAGGAGAGGCAGTTTACCTGGATGCACACTGGCCAATACACACATGGATGGCAGCTCCTCAGCCTGCACAGCTCATTTTAGCCCCAGAGCCCACAACTGGGTTGCACTTGCCATGATCTACTGGTGGGGAGTGGGAACTGCCCTCACACATGACAGCACCATGCARAATGCTCACTGTACAGTAGCCACGTGTTTAGGAAAGCTAAAATGCAGATGTTGAACAGCTACCTCTAGGTATGGAGGCACTCAGCAGTCATTACATAATMC